ACAAAATTGTTTGGGTTTTTCGAGAACAGATTTAAGAAAACATTTAATAGTAACGAAGATTCCAGAATGGCTACATCAACTTTAAACCTTCTATGCTAAAAGTCCCTAAGCTTAATCCTTGTAAATCCCTTGTCTAATTACTTAATTTACCTTGCAGTGGGGCGAACAGCGTGGCTGCACCCGGGAGGAAATGATATCCTTTTACGATTCCGAGGGCAATGTGCCGCTCCATTCGGCGGTGCACGGCGGCGACATCAAGGCGGTGGAGCTGTGCCTCAAGTCCGGCGCCAAGATATCCACCCAGCAACATGATCTCTCAACGCCAGTGCACCTGGCCTGCGCCCAGGTGAGTGAAGTGTAAAGCTGCACTTGGTTGAGGTTAACTGACAGGCGGCAGCTCAACAACTCTCGCATTTCCAAGGGGAAATGGGGGTGGGGCGGGGAGATGTGTGTAAACAAAGCGTTTTTGGTCAGTAAGTCATGGGAAAACAGCGTTAAAGCCTCGCCAAGGAGCCAAGGAGGGGTCCTGAAGTCGGCGACTCGTGTCTTGGCCTGACTTTAATTTGACAAATTCTTATGCAAATTACACCAAGAGGAACGTGACTTTGCCGCTGGCAAAACAAAGCACCCCCAAATGTTGCGTAACGCACACCACGGGTGAATGAATCCGACTGGGTTTTCCATTTACCATTTTCCATTTTGGAGTTGTTCTTCTATTTGTTTTGTTTTTATTTTCAGGGTGCCATTGACATAGTGAAGCTGATGTTTGAGATGCAGCCCATGGAGAAGCGTATCTGTTTGAGCTGCACGGACGTGCAGAAGATGACGCCGCTGCACTGCGCCTCCATGTTTGATCACCCGGACATAGTGTCCTATCTGGTGGCCGAGGGTGCGGACATTAATGCCCTGGATAAGGAGCATCGCTCGCCGCTGCTCCTGGCCGCCTCTCGCAGCGGCTGGAAGACAGGTGACAAATTAAGAGACTTTTTAATTAATTATAAAGACTTTAGTCAACTTTCTTTTACTTTCTCTAATAACGCAGTGCACCTGCTCATTCGCCTGGGAGCCTGCATTAGCGTGAAGGATGCTGCCGCCCGCAATGTCCTGCACTTTGTCATCATGAACGGCGGTCGGTTGACGGACTTTGCCGAGCAGGTGGCCAATTGCCAGACCCATGCCCAGCTCCAGTTGCTGCTCAACGAGAAGGACAGCATGGGCTGTTCGCCGCTGCACTATGCCAGCAGAGATGGACACATCCGTTCGCTGGAGAACCTCATCCGGCTAGGAGCCTGCATCAATCTCAAGAATAACAACAACGAGAGTCCGTTGCACTTTGCCGCCCGCTATGGTCGTTACAACACGGTGCGCCAGCTCCTGGACTCGGAGAAGGGATCCTTTATCATCAATGAGAGCGATGGCGCTGGTATGACCCCGCTGCATATCTCCTCCCAGCAAGGACACACGCGTGTGGTGCAACTGCTCCTGAACCGTGGCGCTCTGCTCCATCGCGATCATACCGGACGCAATCCCCTTCAGCTGGCGGCCATGTCTGGTTACACCGAGACCATCGAGCTGCTGCATTCGGTGCATTCGCATCTGCTCGATCAGGTGGACAAGGATGGAGTAAGTGGAGCCTAAGACGTCTTAATTCAATGTGGTAATCTTAAAATCTCCAAAGAACACGGCTCTCCACCTGGCCACCATGGAAAACAAGCCCCATGCCATCTCCGTGCTAATGTCGATGGGTTGCAAGCTGGTTTACAATGTGCTGGACATGAGTGCCATTGACTATGCCATCTACTACAAGTATCCGGAGGCAGCGCTGGCCATGGTAACACATGAGGAGCGGGCCAACGAGGTGATGGCCCTGCGATCGGATAAGCATCCCTGCGTGACTCTGGCACTGATTGCATCCATGCCGAAGGTATTCGAAGCGGTGCAGGATAAGTGCATCACAAAGGCCAACTGTAAGAAGGATTCAAAGAGTTTCTACGTAAGTTGTTCGTTTCCCAAGGGACTTCCCATACAAAATTCTCGCCTCTCATTCCATCAAAGCTAACAATTCTTTATTCCGTCCCATAATCCACCTATATCCTGAATAGATCAAGTACTCTTTTGCATTCTTGCAATGCCCCTTTATGTTTGCCAAGATTGATGAGAAAACCGGAGAGTCGATAATGACAACGAATCCCATTCCGTTGCCGGCATTGAATGTAAGCGGAAACTGGAATTGATCCCAGATCAGATCTCTCTTGCTGCATGCTTGTTTCAGTGTTGTTTCTGCCCCGTTTTTATCTTTGATTATGATACATGAGGTTATTAGTTGGAGATATTACTGCCAAGACTTGGAGGTTACTATGAAAATAAAGCAGTATTTCTTTGTTTCTTGAGGATGTTATTTACAGAGTATCATCGATACAAAGCTTACGTAGGCCATTAAGTTGAGAAGGATCTGAATACTCTTCAATAACGCCTCACGTACCCAAATCTAAACTAATCCTTGATTTTCAAGGCTTCTAGGCTTAGGACTAACAGGACACATCATGACCCATTTACAATATTAATGGTTAACAGACTGAAATTTAAATAAATATAAAATGTTGACCACCATCCAGATAAAATATTCGTTTTGGCCCTACCAAAAGACACCCGAACAGATTGAGGCCAAGCGCAAAGAGTTCAATGACCCCCGATGGCGACCCGCGCCCTTGGCCGTGGTGAATGTGAGTGTGCACCGAACTCTCTTAAAGATCTCACCATCGAGCAGCTGTGCAATTGTGTCTCGTCCCCTAAGCTAAAAACTAACCCACTAACAATCAACTCAGTGTATATGGCTTTTGTAACTTCTAAGTGTTGTGTATGTTTTAATGTCTCTTGGATCTTTGTGAGCTTTTAACTTAACTCTTAGCCTTCCTGTTCTTCCTTATCCCTGCCAGACCATGGTCACTCACGGCAGAGTGGAGCTGCTGGCCCATCCGCTCAGCCAGAAGTATCTGCAGATGAAGTGGAATTCATACGGCAAGTACTTTCATCTGGCCAACCTGTTGATCTACTCGATATTCCTGATCTTTGTGACCATTTACTCCTCGCTGATGATGAACAACATTGAGCTGAGGGCCGGAAATAATAACAAGACGATGAGTCAGTACTGCAACATGGGGTAAGTTATGACATTTCAATAATATATTTGAAAACCTAATAAAATTGGATATTTCAGCTGGGAAGAGTTGACCCTAAATCTCTCCCAGAATCCGGCGGTTGCCTCTCAGATCCGCTTGGATTCCTGCGAGGAGCGCATCAACCGAACCACGGCCATTGTTTTCTGTGCAATTGTCATAGTGGTCTACATCCTGCTCAATTCGATGCGGGAACTGATACAGATTTATCAGCAAAAGTTGCACTACATCTTGGAAACGGTCAATATCATATCGTGGGTGCTATATATCTCGGCTTTGGTGATGGTGACTCCTGCTTTTAAGCCCGATGGAGCCATCAATACGGTTCACTATTCGGCGGCCTCGATCGCTGTCTTCTTGTCCTGGTTCCGACTTCTGTTGTTCCTCCAGCGATTCGATCAGGTGGGCATCTATGTGGTGATGTTCCTGGAGATCCTGCAGACGCTGATCAAGGTGCTAATGGTATTCTCCATCCTGATCATTGCCTTTGGCCTGGCTTTCTACATTCTGCTCTCAAAGGTGAGCTCATAAATGTGATTATTATTTAATCGGTTTTATAAGGACTCTATTCTTGCAGATTATTGACCCGCAACCGAACCACTTGTCCTTCTCCAATATACCCATGTCTTTGCTGCGAACCTTCTCGATGATGCTGGGCGAGCTGGACTTTGTGGGCACCTATGTGAACACCTATTATCGTGACCAGCTGAAGGTCCCCATGACCTCCTTCTTGATTCTGAGTAATCTGGCTCAATATCCAACCAGTACTATGATAATATTGTTTCCTTTTTTCATAGGCGTCTTTATGATCCTCATGCCCATTCTCCTGATGAACTTGCTCATCGGTTTGGCCGTCGGCGACATTGAATCGGTGCGTCGCAATGCTCAGCTGAAGCGCCTGGCCATGCAGGTGGTGCTCCACACGGAGCTGGAGCGCAAGCTACCCCATGTCTGGCTGCAGCGTGTGGACAAAATGGAGCTCATCGAGTATCCCAATGAGACCAAGTGCAAACTCGGTCTCTGCGATTTTATTTTGCGGAAATGGTTCTCTAATCCGTTTACCGAGGATTGTGAGTATAAAGTAACATCCTTTGTGGAGGAGAAATCAACTCCGTTTCCAATCCAATTCCAGCCTCCATGGACGCCATATCCTTTGACAACAACGACGACTACATAAACGCAGAGCTGGAACGTCAGCGGCGCAAGCTGCGCGACATCAGTCGCATGCTGGAGCAGCAGCATCATTTGGTGCGTCTCATTGTCCAGAAGATGGAGATCAAGACCGAGGCAGACGATGTGGATGAGGGCATATCGCCCAATGAGCTGCGCTCGGTCGTTGGCCTAGGATCGGCTGGCGGGAATCGTTGGAACTCACCGCGCATCCGGAACAAGCTGAGGGCCGCCCTGAGTTTCAACAAGAGCATGTAGAGACCCTACAGAACCTGCTCTAAATATATCTAAAAACATATATCCTAAATGTATATGTCACAAAATATTTCAATTAATCTCAAATTATTGTGTAGTATCCGAAAAAGGATTGTCTGTGTGTGCATGTGTAGATTGTGTGGTGTGAGAGGTCCTTAAAGGAATGTACAACGAATTTATAGGCAAGGACCACATGCTTGTTTGCTAAATATCTGTAGTTTTATATGCACCTAAAGTTCTGCAATTGCTAATGTTTCGATGTCTTTTAAAAGTCTATATAAAACAATAAAGTCATAATAATCAGAGCAACCTTACGCGTTTTGGAGAGAAAGGATTCAAGAGATTTTTGGTACAACTACATCACTTTTTCACACCGATTTCAAACTGAATAGTCCCTGCTTTAAATACATTATTATTTATTTATAAAAATGATCAATGGTAAAGTGGCAATGTGAGAGAAAAATGGCATAAAGTTAACGATAAAGATATAGAAACTTAACTACTAATTTGTAATTGAAAAGGGTGCAAACCTTTTACATAAAGGTGATCTTTGTGCGTCCCATGTTGACCTGCCATACGTTAAGCTCCTCATAGTCGTCAATGCATTTGTCCACTTGGTCAGGTTTGAAGCCCTTGGTGGTGCACCGGTCCATAATATCGGCGATCTTCACCGCCTTGCCAGAGCCAGCCAACTCGCGTACAATGGCAAAGATGCGATCCGAAGTGTTGGGAACACTGGAAATATAACCAAGAGTCAGCACATGAAAATATAAAAAAGCTAGTTAGTACTCACTGTCCCTTCTGGTGCTCGTGGATCTGATTGAGCGAATCCTTGGACATTTCCAGCAGACGCAGAGCCTCGGCCACATCGTCCTTCTCCACGCGATCGGAGAGACGCAGCCGGGCCAAGGCAGTGGACAAACGCAGGATGCCCAGCAAGTTACGGGCAGAGGTGAATGTCATGTCCTTCTGGTTGCGTGCTTCTCGTCGCAGTTCTACGTAGGCACCCACAATGTAATCGGTGAGCTCATCGGGAATGGTGGGATTCTTGCGCTTGCACAGATTAATGTAACGCCGCATGAGATTCATGTCCAGTGCCTTGACTCGCGACGGTGGTTGTTTGCTGTGGCTATGCACGTACGTGATATGCTTGGCCAGTCGCAGATCGTTGTCGCGATCCGGCTTGTCCTGGATGAGCCATAGCAGATCGAAACGTGAGAGCAGAGCCGCAGGCAACTGGATGTTTTGCTCCACGGTACGGCGAGGATTGTAGCGACCGAAGGCGGGATTGGCAGCGGCCAAAATGGAGACGCGTGCATTCAGTGTGGTCATAATGCCTGCCTTGGCTATCGAGATGGTCTGTTGTTCCATCACCTCGTGAATGGCCGTACGATCCGTATCCGCCATCTTGTCGAACTCATCGATGCAGCACACACCTTGATCGGCAAGGACCAGTGCGCCACCTTCAAGTGTCATCTCGCCGGTGAGGGGATCCTTCATCACGGCAGCCGTAAGACCCACACCGGAGGAACCACGTCCAGTGGTGTACTGCGAACGTATAGCCAGGCGACTGATATAGCCCAACAGCTGGGACTTGGCCACACCGGGGTCGCCCATCAAGCAGATGTTGATGTTGCCACGAATTTTCATGCCATCCGGTCGCTTGTCCACGCCTCCAACCAGCAGCAGGAGCAGAGCCTTTTTTACATCTAAATGGCCGTAGATCTCAGGGGCCAAGCTGGTGGCCAATCGCTCGTAAAAGTCATCCTGGGCCAGCTCCTCCAGCTCGTCGGGTGTAAGTTCGGCATCCTTGTCCGAGATCTCATCGTTCTTGTTGATACAAATAATGCGCTTTAAGGAAAGGAATACGGATAAGGTAAAACCATGGAAAGTAATATAAAAATCTATAGATTTCACTTACATGAGCTTGCAGGAAGGTCTCCGACAGCAGACCCTGCAGCATCTGCTGGAACCCGCTGCGCACCAGGGGCAGAAATACGCCCGAGACGACTATGTGGTCGCCTGGTTGGGCCATTCGGGTCACTTCACCCCTGCAGAGCACCGTCATGCTGCGGGGAATGTGGCCAACGGGCACCTGGTCGCTGTGCTCCTGCATCTTCAGTTCCTGGAACTTGATGAACTTGGAGCCGCGCGTCTGAAGGTACAGCCTGCCACCCGCCTTGTTCACCCGGCAATCGTCCGACGGGCAGTCGTGGACGGGCGTAAAGGAGAGCGAGTTGACCGGCTGATAGGTCTCGGAGCCGCAACGATCACACGTGTATGTGGCTACCACCATCATGGGTTTCACTTCGGTGCAGCGGGTGACGATGCCGCGCACGGTGACCAGTTTGCCAATATGCTGGGCCTTCACCTCGCGTATAGAGTGAGCCTTCTCCGTTGACTGGGGCTTGAAGCCAACCTCGCTGCAAGAATGATGTTAAGGTTAATGTTATTGCTTAAAGTTGCCTTCATAACAACTTACAAACGCTTCATCAGTTCCGAGGGGAAGCTGTTCCGTTCGTCACGCTGCTCCATGGGATTCCTGGTGCGGGCGTCCATCATAAGACGATGTTCGATGTACACATCCAACGCATCCTTGGCGTGCACCTCCTGCTGCTTATAGCTGGGCAGCAGCTCAGCGATCACATCACTAAAGATGGCCGAGTACCGCCGGCAATTGTCCATCACTGCCTCCGCGAGGCTCTCGTTGAACTCCGCCAGGTCGTCCAGATCGATGGTGATGAGGACCTGCTCCCGATGGGCCAGCTTCACCAGCTGGGAGCCGTACACAAACTCCTTTTTGCCATCATCGTCGCATTTGCAGAACTCCGACAGGAAGGTCTTGATGGATTCTGCGTGGTTGATAAACAAGATATTTAGGAGTTCTATTTCCTGAAAGAGGGGAACATTTTTCACTTACCTCTATCCTGGGCGTAGTCGCGTCGGGCCATTGTATTCTCTTGAATTTATAATACAGAACAATTAAACTGGGCGCAAATGCAAGCCAAATGTGTTTTTTCGGACGCTGTTTGCGGGAAAATGCGAGGAAAACACAGAAAATGCTTCCCGCCAAAAATGCGCTCGATCGATGATGTGACCAAACAGGTTTTGTGTGACCAGATTTAGGAACTGGTAAAACGCGATACAAAAAGGGGTTGAAATCTTTGATAAACTTTTCTAAGCTGTTCAAATAAAGGTGCAAGATATGGCTAAAAATAACGTAAGCCAAATAACGTAAGTAAATTGAAACGTTTTTCAAGAGCATTTAAGGAAACATGATTGAAATATATGTAATTTATTAGTTGTTTAACATTTTTGTTTGGCTAGAGGTATCACGAAAGTAAGAAATATGGAAAATAAGCTGTGCAAGCCGATGCACATGGAACTCACCAAAAAGGTGCACAACCAGGCTAAGCAAGAAACAGATTCGCCAATGTGACCCCAACCATTGCTTGCAATTCTACTGTGAACTGAAACTTTTGCGCGCTTATTTTCGAATTTGAAAGGGAATTAAGAAGGCGTATCAAACTTACGTTATTATAATATTTACTTATTTAATTCTATAAAAAAATGAATATTTAATATTTCATTGAATATTTTGAATATTAATCATTCTTACAATAAACTTAGGAATTTATTTAACGTCTAATATATCTTGTTTTGTAAAAACCAAAGCTTTAAATAATTTTGGAATCTTCTAAGCATTGCCTTTTCTTTCACCTTATCAACTTTCACTTAAATCTTTCTACTCGAAACACAACAAACGCGTCGTGCTTATACAAAATTTCTAGTTTTATTCCCATCAATATTGCAAAATCGTTAGTGTTTTTGCAAAAATGTTGAAAAAATTCGTGGAAGTGAACGCGGAATGCAGTCCCTCGACGAACCCGTACGAGGTGCGCACCTACCTCGGCAACGACACCGTGCCGGAATGGAACGCCGAGAATTGTCCGCCCCGCGACCGTGTCTGCCCGAAGAAGCCACCAACCTCAACGATCTCTCAAGTCCTAACCATCGAGGATGAGCTGCGTCGCATACACCACAAGTCGGAGCAATCTCGCTTCTTCAATGTGTTCAAACCGAAATGCGCCCTTTATGACGACCACACCAAGTGCGTCATACCGCAGCGCACTCCTGCCGAGTTAAAGCTGAACGCCGAGATGCGAGAGCGCATCCTAGCCGCCCGCGTCGATATTGGCCTGGTGGAGCATGATGCCAAGAAGCCGCGAAAGTGTCCCAAGGATCTCGTTGTCCTCAACAGTCCCATGGATATGGGAGAGGAGGAACAGGATGCCGAGGAGGGTGAGGAGGAGGAGACAGAGGTTAAGCCACAACTAGCCTCAGCCGAGTGCAGCTCGGATATGATTCTCATTCCGGACAAGCGAATGGTGAGTAAAGATTCTATTTTTTTCTTGAAAAAGTATTGTTTCTTGGTAAATAATTTATAATTAGGCACCAAACTATTAGATTCCATTAACTTTATTTGTAATTCAACTCGGTTGACAATAGACTTGATCGCACATCTTAAAATAACTTAAAATCCGTACTTCTCTAAATAAACGGCATATATTATGGCATTGAAGTTAAGGCTAGCTTAGGATACGACTTGGTATTTGGTGCTCTTACTCTATCAGCTCAATGTCATCGATGTCTGCATAGATACTGCCCGGTGGCAGTTCCGGCAGAGAGCTAATATCTGGATTCCCTCCAGACTCTGAACTCGTGGCCAGCGATAGGGTGCGGTAAGCTCCCGAAGCAGCCTGCTGTTGCATATGCACGCCCAACTGTGAGATCAACTCCAAGGCTTTAATGTCCGAGTTCATTAGAGCGAACTGGTGGATGATGGCTAGGTGGGGAAAGACGCCGTTGAGCAAGGTGCTGGTGCCGGCAATCATCTGCTCATCCGAATTGGGCTGCTCTTCGGCGGGGGCTTCCTGTTCGTCCGCCATGCTGGCCGGTGAATCCATCATACTGGGCTCACAGGTGACCACCTCCACGACTTCCTCATCGCCCTCTTCGAGGTGGTCAGACATCAGGCTGTTCTCGCTGGACAGATTAACCAAGTCGGGTAATTTGGGCAATAGTTCTTGGTTGTTGGAGTCCCCTTCAGCCGAGTCGGACAGCTCGCGTTGCATGAAGTTAGGCAGAGCCTGCTTAAACTCCACAATGATCTCTTCGACGGGCAGGTCTTGTGCGATGGGATTCTCGCCCTGGTAGCCCAAGTCGTCCTCCTCGTACTTGTACTTTCCGCGGAAGCGATTCAGCCAGCGGTAGGAGGGTCTAAAGGAGGGCAGGTTCAGAACTGCAGCCATCCGTAGAGCGGTTTCCTTCAGCTTCTGGTTTCGGATGCTCAGGTTTAGATGGAGTTGCCGGCATCGTTCCACCCACTCGTGGAGTAGGAAACTAATGGCGCTCATTTCGAACTTTCGACGCTTGCGCGTCATCTCCTCAATTATAATGGACGCATCAGCTTCGCTCAAGGTGGCCAGTTGTTGGAGCAGCTCCTTCTTCTTCTCCAGAATCCGACGTATTTGGGTGGCGCAGCAGTGGAACATCTTGGCCAGGCTGTTCCTAGAGATATTGGTCTCCTCATAGTAACGGATTACGGCAATCTTCTCGTAAAATGTCAGGATATTACGCTCATTGCGACGGGATTTGTTCTGGGGAATATACATAAGTTCAATTAATAAATTAGGAAATTAATTTAATAAAAAGTAAACTAATCAATTTAGATACATAAAAAAGGACCTAAATCCTTCTGTTTCCTTGTAGATTTAAAAATGTATACTATATCTTTAACCACTACATAAATTGTTTTAAACTTTAAAAGGACCTATAGGTTTTCCTTGAACAATTATTTTGTTGTTACTTACAAATTAATGAACTATTTTGCCTAATCTTTTAAATAAATAAAATGACTTTAATGGTAACTCAAAATATTAAAGTTTTCTCTTTATAATTTACTGTAGTAAGCCGCTAAAAGTAGGCAATGATTTGTGTTCCCTTTGATTTAATAAGATGTCCTTGTCTAACCTTGTGCTTTTGAAAGAAAAGGAAACACATATTTACAAGAATCCTTGACGCCACTGCACAAAGCCGGTTTGTGAATATTTTAACCGAGATCTCCAAATACAAACATGTATATGTATTTACGAACAAACATACATACATACATACATACATATGTGCATACATATTTACAAACACAATTACGTAAGTGTGCCTTCGGATGACGCGCGTGTTTGTCTGTTGGCCACAAGCTATAAAATCCACCCTCTACGGACCGCTTAAAGGCCAAGTTAACATATCTGGCTTCCACTTGGGACTTACTTACCCCTTTGTTGTTGTTGTTGCGCCGCAGCGTCGCCGTTGGTAATGCTGCTATGGCTGCCATTTCAATTGTTTTACTTCAATTCACAGAGTTTAGACTAGTTTTGTGGTTTTCTCCTCCTTCTTGAATTCTCCTCTTCTTGTTTTCCGCAAACTGCGCAGCAGCTTCCTCCAAGCCAATTGCGCTGTTGTTGTTGCCTCGCTCTCACCTACGAACCCTCTGTTCGCAATGAACTGACATCAGAGAGAGACAACCGGAGAATGTGTTGTCTGTGCGAGTGGAACTGCGACGATTCCTTTCGAAGCTGGACACAAAAGAAAAAGCAATAAAACAAAAATAAAACTACTATTAATACCGGCCATGCAAATGGCAAAGAGTTATTAGTCACATTTTTGTGTTGGCACGAAGCACGTTCTCTAATTCGTTTGTGTATTAGCTTATTTCTGTTGTTGCGGCGCTGACATTTTTACAATTACTGAGTAATAACACTTGTGCCCTGCTTTTTGGTTCCGCTCTCCTCGTTGCTCATTCCCCTGTACTCTTTCCTATGCCTCTTCCCGCGCCTTCGACTGTGTGCGTTAGCTCGTCGCTGGCTCCGTATTCCATATGAAATAAAAACGGTTCACTATGCGCTCACAGCCCCTTTGGTGGTGTGTTTGTTGCTGTTTCGCATCGGCTTCGGCCGTTGTTGTTGTAGCAACAGAAATGACACTTGCAGCTGTTACGGTTAAACAGTGGTGGGCAAAATAGAAGTAATGGGGTTTTTAAAAAATTACTAAAAGAGCGGATCGAAATTTTGAGGATCATGGGAACATATTTAAATACATATGTAAATAGTTGATCTCAAGATCGAAATGGTGTAAATTTAGAAATTTAGAGGTATTTAGATTTATTATTTAAGTCAATGTCCCTCCCTTCAGGTATGCTGCATACTTAGTTGCACGGAAGTGTCTATAGTCAGGGTCTTATAAAGCTTATAATAAATAAATGATTTAATTTAATATTTGTCTGACCTTTAAAATCAACATTAGCTAAGATTTATTATGTACATATGTATAATTTTCAGGTACATGTATTAAAAAGTTTAAAATTAACTACTATTATTTCTAACATTGTATTATATTTTTGACCTCAGCTGTATTGCGTTGTTTGGTCTAGTGCACTAGTGCATTGTGCATACATGTATGCAAAAGCAGTGCGGTTGCTGTCGCTTCGCTTTTGTTTCACTTGCGTCTGCGTTTTGCCGCGAGTGTGTGTTGTTTGTTATGTTTCGATTGTTGTTGCCGGGGGCGTGTGTTGGAGTGGGCGTGGACAGAAGGGGTGGCTGGGTTAACGATTAACATCCGATTTCTATTTTGCAAATGTAGCTCCCCACGCAGAAGGTGCGCTCTATCTTGGCTAATTACTTTTGCGTTCGCAGATAAGAGCCTGTCTACTGAGAGTGGAGTGCTTCGAACGATTCGTTTCTTTTCGTTTCGTTTGATACCCGAAGTGATATAAAGACGCTTTAATGTTTTATGGGTTTCCATCGTGGTGGCACCTTATCGATTCACCTCTCTGTTTTATTTAACATCTTTGAGGTAAACCCTTCGGAATGACATTAAAAGGCTTCTAGGGGCTACTTTTTAATAAAAACTTTATCTTATCTCTAAAGTTATTGCCCAAGTCAAGATTGTATCAAGATAATCTTTCTTTGGAATTAATAAACAAAATAATAAGAAATATCCTTTTTTAAAAATATCCCTTAACTCAACCTTAAGCAGATGCTCTTATGATTAACTTTCGTATAATCTGTAGAAAATAACTTTAAGCTCATCATTTTGTGGAGTCCCCTTTTGGGAGCTTCTTCTAATGTTAACTACGCCCCTGTATTTCACATTCCCTTTGCTCAGTGGCGCCGCCAGAGGTCTCTTGTTTGCTTGCACACTTTAGCTTTAGGTATGCACTTAAATGTGTGTCTGTATCTGTATCTGGGCTTTGTTAGGCGGCTGCACCTGGCAAATACCAATTTTAATTCGAATTCCAAGTCATCACCGAGATTGCTTTTGCTGCCTCAGCACCATGATGGAAAACAGATGCCTTTAAGTTGATTACGTCGCCAGTTTCCTTTTTCTACCTGTTTTTGAGCGTGTTTCTGGAAGATGCTATTAGTGCTTAATAATAATTACTCACGTAAATAAATTAGAAAGTCTCGTCCCTAGCTAAGGATTACATTTAGAACTGGTTTCTAAAAAGAAAAACATCCTTAATTTAACCTTAAGGTGAAAAGAATGTCAAAGGAACTTAAGCTCTCCTTGCAGTCCCTTTAGCAATAAAGCCTGTTTTATATAGAACTCCAACTGAACTCTGTTGGGACCTGGCAGCACCTGCTCTCTGCTCCAAAGATCTTGTTGAATAACCCCTTCATCTGGCTTGACGTTTTGCCAGCGAGGGTTGCGTAGTGAAACTAGCGACTTGTTGGCAGACTGCGCCTTGGCTTTGGTAGTGGTGGCCAGTGGCCTGCCTGCCTGCCTGCTGTTGACGTGGTCGTATGCTATAACTGCGCGATATTGCGCCGCTCACCTGGCTCACTTGGTCCGCTGCTGTTGTTGCTGTTCTTGTTGTTCTTGTTGTTGCTGCAGCACGCTAGATGACTTGTTTGTTCTGCAGCCGAGACAGCCTCGTATTTGTATAGCGGGTATTCGGGTCCGGGTTCGGATTCGGGTTCGGGTTCGGGTTTCAGTTCGGTTTTGGGTTTGTCGAACGAGAGCGATAAGATTCCGTGATGTGGCACTAAGCGCTGCTCGTTGTTCACTGCTCTGTGCATTGGACGCCTCTGTTTGGTGGCCGTCAGCTCTGCTTTGTGGCCAGCCAGCCATAGAGGGCCTCACAGACACAGCCGTAGCCCGTAACCCACACACTGGCACACGGGCAGGCCCACATACTCGTATAGCGCGCGCGGCGACATCAGGTCGTTATAGTCAGTCTAGTTGGCATTTCGTGCTTACCTTATGCCGCTTACTAACTTCTTGATGAGCGCAGAGAAGTAAAGTAGAAAAAAATAAAACAGCGAACGCAAACAGGCCTCCCGTCCGTCCGTTCGTACATATACTGTACACTCGCACACTCACACACTCACACACACGCAAACGAACGGTCTATATAGGGGACGTAGTAGTACGTCGGGCATCGGTGGCGTATGCGTGCTATTTTCAGCCGCATTAAAAGCTTATGGCCATGGGCAGGAAAACACAAAAACAGAGTCGCCAAGTGAAAGCACAGAGCTTGCACAGAGCCAAGCGCCGATAACTGGCCATATGTTACACAATTGCCAGCGTTAAACTATTTGATTACTGAATAATGTAGATGGGTTTGCATATCCTAATATTATTTGGCCTTAAAAAGCTAAGGAAGGGGATAGATGCTTTGAAAACTAGCTTAGGAAAAATTAGTTAATTAATTAGGACTTTAGTTTCGAACATTAAATTAGAACTTATGGAACTTTAAATGTTTTCAAACATCCTTACATATTTGTTTCCTTGTATTTGTATTAAATAAATCAGTTTTAATCAATAAATAACCATAAAGATTTATTTGGTTTTTTTTAAAGTACCTTTACATAAGATTTTAAAATGTTTTAACCTTTTTACTCGCATTTTACTTTTTAAAATGATTTCCCTTTTCTATAATACTATATTATTTAGCATAAAAAAAATTAATAAAATAATAAATAAACTATTTAATATTCTATCCTTGCTTAGCTGGAGCTTAAGCGTCCCAAGAGTCGTATTTACCTGAACGAGACAGATGTGGGTCCGCTAGAGGAACTACCTTTCCCCTCCTACAATCCCCGTGTCCTGCAAGAAGGCTTAGAGACCGATAACCTGCAGACCTACGACCTCATCGAAGGTTGCAATCCAGCGGATCTGTGGACCTGGAACGTGGGCTACCAAAGGCGGGAACAGGAACTCGATCAGGACTTTATCAATGCTTCCCTGCCCAGATATGGTATGTAATCAGATGTTCATTCGATCGTTTATTACACTTACCTAGCTCCATCTAAATTTCACAGAAAACGACGGGGAACTTACGCTTTATAATATTCCCAATCAACTCGAAAAGACCTTCACTGCTGAGATTGTGTTCGGAACTCGAAACATTTATCCAGAACCAAAACCGGATTCTAACCGTTTAAGGTGAGTAAATCCTTGAAAATACGATACATTTGGGCATATAATTATATCAAAGCCTAACTATATATCTTGTTTTATTTCGAAAATAAGAAAAATCCCTAACAAAAATCTTTTTCTCTTCTGTAGATACTATAATAGGCCCAGCGAGGTTGGCGCCATTATCATTGCCTTTGTGGAAAGCTTCCGCTTGAATCCGGATTTCTGGACAGGCGCCACCATGGATGCCATCCTTAAGCGCGGTGTGAAGTTGGTCAAGAAGAGTGCTTCCTTAAACTTCAAATCGGAGGTCAACGATTTCGATATACTCCCTCAAGTGGCTGAACGTCAGGCCGCTGTGCAGATCAAGATCCACTTTTCGGGACTACTGAAGAACGAACCCAATATGTTCAAGGTTCTTTCGCTGTTTTTCTCCAAGTATAATGCCTGCATTTTTACATCCCGCGATCTCTTCCTGCTGATCTGGAAGCGATGTCTGAACTCGTACTACATCTTTGATCCAAATGGACGTGATGACCAATGCGAAAGGGACTTCGAGGAGGGAAAGTGCTCTCTGATGGCCACACGGTTCACCGAGCATTTGGTGCACCTGATCATTAAATTCAGTGACTTGCAACCCGATGATGAGTTCAATATCTTTGAGATTTCACTGACCCAGTACGGAAAGCTAAAGGAGGAGCCCTATAAGAAGGGGGAGGACGAGGAATATCACAAACTCTGGGCGGTGGTCAATGAGCATTTTGCTGTGAAGACATCAGGCACTGGTGGCATTCATCAGCCCATTTCCGGCAACGAGAAGAATGCCTCGCTGGTGGTGTCCCTGATAGCCCTGATTTATTCCGAATTCGAGTTAGCCAAGTTGTGGCGACCGGGAACCATTGATGATATCATGCGGTATGGTGTGGCTTACTACAAGACCCTGCGCAAGAAGTTCCGACTGGATGGCAAGCGCTGGAAGAATAAGAAGCCCCATTTGAATATTGTGGACCTGCCGGAGATGTTCCTGATGGGTGCCTTCAAGGCCACCGTTCGCAAATATCCCTTCATGATCAACGGACACGTGGCGGACTGCAAAAGCTATTTGGATTCTCAGCTGACGATGGCGCTGCACCAACTCTTCAATATGCCCAACTGGCCAGCGGCTCTCCTCCAGATCGATAACTCTGTGCTGGCCTTGTGGCGTGACAGGGAGTTCTTCTACGTCTTCGATCCGTTCCGTAGGAATCGCACTGGCTTGGTGGTGGATCCCGATGATTATACGATCAGGGGTCTGGCCGTGCTGCAGATTCATGCCACTTTCGACTCCTTTGTCCGTGTGCTGTACCGGAATGCCTTGAAGATGAGACGTGGTGGCAAGTTCTTTATCCACGGCATCCGTTCGGGTTGCATCCGTCCACTGCAGGTGATAACACCGCAGGCAAACAAGTTCCCGAACCTTAAGATGGGTTTGCCCACGTTCACGGATGAACCACCGGCTCCTGAGCTGAAGCAGAAGAAGAGTATCGAGAGCATTCCGGATGAGGAACGTTTCCCCACAGTAGAGGAGAGCGAAATGGTGGACGATCTGATCAACTGGATTATCAATAATATTATCAAGGAACTGCCAGAACCACAGCCGAGGAGGCCAAGCATATATAGGCCTGCCCAGAAGGTCCTGCTGCGCACGGATAAGGAGAACCTTCGAGCACTGCGGCTGAAGATCAAGCGCGGTTACGAGCTGGGCCAGGAGGAGGAGGAGGGTCTGAAGCGCGTGCTCACAGTGGAAGAGGAATTGGCTCTCAAGAGCAACTTCAAGCAGCTGCCGGATGGCTCCTGGATCATTATGGGCACCACCTCCCTGCCCCAGGTGGATGAGGAGATGGCCAAACTGGGTGGCTTGCTGGCTGCCCTGGTGGCCATGGCGGTATCCTCGAAGTACAAGATCTCCACCTGGAATGCCGATCTCATTGAGTTCTCGCTGGAATCGGTCAACAGCTTCAGTGAGGACTATCAGATGTACGAGAATGTCCTGGCCTGTCTGTTGGCCAAGAAGCTGCCGGACATTGCCATCGGCGAGAGCAACTTCAGTCTGGAGGTAAAGAAGGTGGTCAAGTCCTCCATCACGGTGCCGCTGCGTCAAGTTCTGGTGGATCTTCTGGTGGACCACAACCGACTGCTGCTCGTCTGCCAGCGCTTCTCCTGTGTGATCTTCAGGCGCTACAACTTTGTGTACATGTTCATTGGCTTCCCGTGCAATGCCATTGGGTATCGGAAGGGCGGATCTGGTCCAGCCTGCCTCCTACGCTTCTTGGAGTTGGATGCCCTGATCAAGCGCATTGAGTTTGGCTGCAATCCCCAGGGCTGCTCCGTAATGAACTTTATTGTGGCCTGCATCGCAATGGTGGACAACAATCTTCATGGACGATTCAGACCGGCGGCCAAGGCGGACGATGACAATGAGGTCAAGCAGGAGACTGCTCGGCAGAAGAAGCTACGTGAGCAACGGCTGGAGAAGATGCGATACATCGACGAGGAGCTGAGGAAGGAAAACGAGCGCATCCAGACGTTCCTGAAGGCGAAGCAGGAGCATTGGGATCGCAAGACCGGAAAGAGTGAGTACTTGGCCGGGGATATTAGTTTAGAATTTTGGATGTATATTAATATAATTGTGGCTTTCACACAATATACTCTTAGGAAAAATTTTGTTATTAATATTTATTTTAAATATTTTGAAGGATATTTTTGTTTGATCATTGTCTTAGCTGTCAATAATTTATATTGTTCTTTTAATATTTGTATAGTGTTGTTCCGGTTTATCAAAGGTTTTTATTAAAATTTAACTTTTAATTTACTTTTAATAATATTTCTGAGGATCCTTTTTTGAAAGCTTTTCTATAAAAAAATAGTTTTCAATAAGTTTTTAAACATTATTTCCCTAATACAATTTTCATACATCCTTGCAGGCAAGCCCGAGTACAGGGACACCGGCATCGACGAAGGCGAGGGCGAGGAGGGTGAGGAGGACGACGACCTGGTCGAGGAGGAGGGCGAGGAAGAGGGCGAGGAGGAGGTGGAGCTGAAGCACAAACCCGGCAAGAAGCTGCCCAAGGAACTGCGGCGTGTGTACAAACCTCGACCCATCATGTTTGGCTATCGAATGCGCGAAAAGGACTGCAACTTCAAGATCCAGGGTAGCGTCGCTTTAGAGGGACGTGGAGATGGCTCCTTCAAGACGATCAAGCCGTGCTACTTCGCCTCCGCCTTGGCCATCCTCAGCTGCTCGCTGCGTCCGCTGAACCAGTGGAACTCGTACCGCATCGATCGGGTGATCAGCAATGCCAAGAGCATTGCCGCCGGAGTCTGTGACCTGGAGTCCGCCTACGAGCGCGTCGTCCGCCATGTGACCATCGACGACTACGAGTTCGACATCTGGATCCGTTGCTTCGAGGTGACGGGCTTGTGGACACCGACGCCCATGAAGAATGCCGGCTCCCCGGAGGCGGGTCTCACTCTGTTCAAGAAGAAGTTCAACAAGCTCCTGAAGGTGCGCAAATACATGATCCTCTTTACGCCCAACGGAAGCTTTGCCATCTACCACGACGAGTTCTTCCACGTCTTCGATCCGTATGGCAGCATGGAGAAGCCCGATGAAGGCGAGGAGGAGGAGGAACAGGATGGCGACGAGGAGGAAGGCAAGAAAAAGAAGCGCTGCCCAAAAGGACCGAAGCGATGGCCCGAGAGAAACACCGCCTCCTGGGTGCTCCTCTACGACATGGACTCTGTGCTCAAGTACATCGATAACCGGGTTGCCGCCAAGGATTGGAAGGAGAAGAGCATGTTCAAGTTCTTTGTGGTGGATGTGCTGTCGCACAAGAAGGCGGCACCTAATGCTCGCATCCTGCAACTCCTCACCGATCTGTCCATACCCATGACTTGCTCGAACAAGCAATACGGCCGACCAGAGTATGAGATCTGTGCCACCAATGAGTCTCTGGGCTGGCTGGAGCTGGAGAACTGCCTGCCTGTCTGGAGCAGACTGAACAGAAGGAACACGGCTGGCAAGTATCGCAACCTGCCAGTCACCAAGATCAAGAAGTTCGATGTGGAGATCGAGGGACGTCTCTGGTCGCTGTGGGGCAACCTGCATCCGGAGGCACCGGTCTTCGACGACGAGTTGCGAGGTCGCCAGTACCTGGGATGCTATGTGATGGCCTGCTGTGCGGCCAGCGTCTACCGGCTGATGGACTGGAGTCCTCATCTCCTGGACACCATCGTGATCAGCGGCACCAATTACTTCAAGGAGAGCATCGATCAGATCAGTGTGGAGGACTACGAGTTCTCGCTGGAGAATCTCAACATCGACTGCTCCATGGACACCATCAACTTTGTGGTCCACATCGAACATGTGTGCTATGGCAAGCTGTACCGAGTGCCCACCTTCAACCGGATGAATCTCTCCGAGGCGCTGATCTACTTCTTCAGTCACTATCAGTTTGGTATTGTGAGTGTGCGGAAGAGGGCCTTGGCCATTGGCTTCTGTCCGGGACACGATGGCGGATACTTTATGTACGACTGCCAGGAGAAGGATCATCCGCTGTTCCCCAAACAACAGGGAGCTTCCTATATGCTGCGCACCCGCCATCTCCAGGTGCTGCTCTACTGCATCGTGGTCACCCTGAATGTGCCCTTCTACAACATCGACTTTAGTATCCACAAGGTGGAAATGCTGCGCGAAGGAGCCACCGTGGAGAACGAGGAGGAGGAGGGTGCCGAGGAGGAAAAACAAGAGTAGAATATACCAGGAGCTGGAGCTGGAGGATTGGTATAAGAAGATGTTGGGGATTGTTTCGTTGGGTGCTCGTGGGGTCTGACGCTAAAGAATTAGGTTTCTTTCTTTTGGAATATATATCGACAGAGAATGGGTTTAATAAAGTATTGAGCCTCTTTTGGAATTAGTTTCTTAATTATTGAATTTTATTCTATGATCTTTGATCTTTGAAACTGATTTATTTTGATAAAGAAGGCAGGGATTTGAATTTTTATCCAACAGAAAATAAGATTATATTGTGCCAATGACGAATAGCTTTATCTTTTTAGAAACTATCCATTCTAAATATCTTTCAAGTCTTTCATTTAGTATAAAACAATCTTTCTTTATCCAAACTATGACTGATCAGAACCCCAAAAGACAGAACCAAAATCACACACATCTCTCTCTACCAATTCGAAATTTAATCGTGTCTCTAAGAACTAAGCAACTAAACATTTAACAACAATCGAATGACGCATGGCCGGATGACTCGATGCTACCCAGACGATGACTCAATTCCAAGTGACTTAATGGCGCAGACGACGCTGTTCCTCGGCCTGTTTGTAGTGATAGCCATCGGCACGTAGCTCGTGGGCGGGCTCTGTTTCCAGCTGCTCTTGGGTCTCCGCATCAGAGGGAGCCATAGGCTGCTGCACGTCCAAGACGTAGGGCATCTGCTCCTCAGCTTGCTGCTCCTGCTGCTGCTGCTGCTCCTGCATCTGGAACTGCTGCATCTGCTCCTGGTACTGCTGGTAGGTCAGCTGCTGATTCTGCTCGGCAGCAGGGACAGGCGGCAGATAACGCATGGCAGGCTGTGCCTGCTGGAGCTGCTCCATGGCGGCTTCCTGGGGTGCCATCTCCATCTCCATCTGGGGCATCATCATGGGCTCGGCATCCATTTGAGGCTGGACAGGAGCAGGCGGCAGATAGCGAGTGGCGAGCATGGCCTCCTCCGGCTGATCCACAGGAGCTGGGGGCGTAAGCTGGCTGCTGGGCATGGCCTCCATCTGGCCATGTTCGTTCTCCCGCATGTACTCCACCTGCTCCGGGAGTTCACGCAACTCCTGCTGTTCGATGCTCATGGAGACGGCTTGTTCTGGACGCGGAGGCGGCAGGTAACTGCTGCTGGGCAGGTGGGAAACATCTGCGGCGGCCAGGCAGGCGCACAGAGCGAGTGTCAGGCAGAAGGTTTTCTATATAAATTAAGTAAAATTTATAATAGTCAATGTAAAAGTTTGTAGTAAAATCCTTGTAATAGTTATCCTTAGTTATCCTTTTGAGCGTATTCCTTTTGCCTTTCGAATACTCACCATCTTGTTGAATGTTTGGCTGTGGAACGTCTGATGTCGGAAGAGCTGAAAGTGATGATATTTATACGAGCACAGCCTCCGAGGAGACCTTCAGTTGGCCCAGTCAATGGTCAAGAGGTTTAGGTAGTGGGCTCTGGTAGTCGGGTTCCGTTATTTGCTCAGTCCATCGATTTGTCGCCGGCATTATTTTGGTCTTGGTCTCGCTATTTTTTCTTTTTTTGTTTTGGCTCATCTCGGCAAACAATCAAACAAACATTCAAGTATTCGAGCTGAATCATCGCCACTGGCCCCCAAGTCTGGCCAGGCAACCACCACACCACACCAAACCAATCCGATCCGATCCGAAGCCTCAATTGGACTCAGTTTAAGCCGCTTTTGGCTATTTGTGTACCCTTGCAGCGGGTAATTGCCATTTTTGGGGACCACAAGGAAGAGACCCAACTAAAAACAATAAACAATTTATAAATAGTTTTCTGTAAAAACAATGGATGCTATTTTGGTCTCTTGTAAAAACAATTACTTGATACGTCTTCGGGAAAGGTAAATCAATATGAGGAAAATGATAACTTTTGGAGGTCTAATTTGTAGTTGTAGCTTTAAGAGGAAAATAAATTAAAAATAATATAATAAGCAACAACAGTTTGTTAATTATTTGCATTTTTTACGAGTTAACAATAGATTTTGTATTTATTTGAATACTCCTTTGTTAACAAAATAAATATTACAGTAAAGAATGTATAATTTGTATTCCTAAATAGTTAATTTTTAAAACTTTTCATTTATAATTAATATATAGTTTTTATAATAGCAACGATCAAAATCTTGTTTACATTTAAATCCAGATTTTGCTAAAATATTAGCTCTATTATTTACTGATAGAGTATAGAGTATCAATTTATAAACCTCTTAAAATTGTAATAATTTAATTTATAATATTTTGGTTAATAACAAAAAGAGTATTTGATGTTCTTCATTAATAAACTCAACTTTTAGCATTCGTTTTCTCTGTATTTCACTGTTCACCTGCGGACAGGTGCCACTTGACGGGGCGTTTGACAATCTCAATTGTGCTTGAAATTCGCGGCTCGAGGCGTATAAACTGGAGCATGGAGCATAGAGCTTGGAGCGTGGATATATACCCAAGGTTTACCCGAATTCGCTTTTCGTTCACTTATTTTTGCACATCGCCTGTCTGACCCTCGCCAGCGGATTTCACGGTCAACTAATGGAACCCAGCACCCCGCCAGAGATGTCTCCGTGTTTCCAAGGGGCCTGACCGGAAAAGTAAATAAGCATTAAAGTAAATTCATAGACCTTCTTCTAAATAAATTTATATAGAAGAGTGTAAACAATACTTAAATTCCTTTCTAAGTATAAAATGTTTAAAATAATTTAGTTAAATTTAGTAGTCAGGTTGTGAAAACTCAACCGAGGTAATTGTTGTTTTGTAACCTTCAGAATCAGAAAATACTATGTTCCAGTGCCAAGCTTGTGTTCATTAGAAGAGGAGCTTGAGGGTCGGCAGGAATTTCATCAGAGGAGCCTCCATTGGGTTCATTTGCTGCCACGATTACACCTTTCCCAATGAAGGACAAACAGAATAAGACGAACTGGGCGGTGGAAGCTGTGGATCCTCCACCTGGCGTTAGTTCGTTTAGTACCGTTAATACCCTAAGGGACACTCGCGTTCAGCGCCGGAATCCCCAGTTCGAGAATGAGCCTCCTCCGATGCCTTTGCCTCCGATAGCTCCCATTAACAAGCGGTCTGAGTCCACTTCCAGGAGATCCGACAGTCCGATTTTAATTCCGGAAGCTCCAATTGGAAACCGATCTCATTCCACTTCCAGGAGATCCGAGATTACTCCGATCGACAACCGGCCTGGGTCCAGTTCCAGGATATCTCAGAGTCCGGTGATGCCTTTGATAACTCCAATTGGCAACCGGTCTGAGTCCAGTTCCAGGAGAAACCAGAGACCAGGGGTGCCTCCAACAGCTCCCATAGGTAACCGGTCTGCATCCAGTTCCAGAAAATAACAGAGTCCGGTGAAGTTGGAGAGTGGGAGGGCAATGACAAACCCTTAAAGCGTTTTTCCGCGGAACGAGTCCTTCGTGGATCAAAATTATAGAAATAAACAAAGCTGGAAAAAGTGAACATCATGCTGGAAAGGTTCACAGCTCCACCTGGAACGACAGCTATATATAAACATCACAGCAAAACCTGGCCTTTGAAGCTCCTTGCTGCAGATCCAGAAGCACTGAACGCTAAATTTCTATGTACTGATTAATAAAATTTTTTAAATCAACATCATTATAATAATAACAAGTTAAATTATAAATTATTATTTTTAGACCTGGAATCATGAAGTAGATCTTAAAGATCATTAAAATTATGAATACGACTTCAGAATTTCCAGTACGAGTAACTTTATTTTTTATACCCTTGCAAGTTATTTTAATTTTAGTCTGAAGCTTATAACGGTGTGAATGAGTCATTTCCGACCCTTAAATTCATATATATTCTTTATTAAAAATTTTGTTCAAAATTTTAAAGGGGTTACATCGTTAAAATTGTCAAAAATTGTCCGATTTCCGATATGTTTCTTTTTTAATAGAAGTAAATGATAAATAATAATAATAAATATATCAAAGACAAATAAAATCTTTAGATTCAATATTAAATATAATATAATTCCAATCGGATTACTATTTTAGATCACTTTGAATCGTTTTAAGCAAGAATTTAAACTTTTGTTTATAGTAATTAATTTCTTAATCGAAAGACAGTTTTGACTTAAATTTAATGAGATATTTTAGGCATTTACCTAAATATTAGTATGTGATAAATGTAGCCTTGATATATATATTTTTAAAGTAAATTACCCATTTAAAGTTCTTTCTTTATAGAGCATGAAATATAATAATTTGCTCAACAGTTTATGGAAGCTAAAGACAATCTGCTTAAATGGTATACTTCTAGGCTTCATCATCAGTTTCCTCAATAATTTTTCAACGCAACGTTGCCTACTTTACTGGGGGTTCTATCGATCGGCTTTGCCAATAATTATAAAGTATAAAGCATTGTTTAATTAATTACACTATTCCTTAAATAAGCTACAAAAGTCATTAAACTGTTACTTACATTATAAATATTATGTTTTCTGATTCTGAGATTACCCTATCCTTTTCTGTCTTTCACTGAGAATTCAAAAAATCAAAGTAACAGGGGTATAATAGTAACTCAAGCAAAACTAAATATATTTTATTGTTTTTACAATTTATTTTGGATATTCTGGAAGTACAAATTTTGGTCTTAAAAATCAAATTAAATCCGCTTATAAATTGCCCGTTAGAGAAGCCATCAGCTTCCCTGCATTTTTCAAGAGGAATCATCACTGACGTCATGTCGTCACGAGTTGGAGAGCTGGACAGCGGCGTGGGGTCAAGCGGCAGCGAGGATATGATGACCATGGATCCTACAGAGCATAATTTTGCCCTTGAATTGAAGCCGGCCCCAAAGCAGCTCTGCATCCCGATGCACCAGCGCCTGACCAGCTCGGAAACCAAGTGAGAGCCACTTAAGAGTACCCTTTAAGTTCGCTTTAAATTTAATTACGATTTTATGTGCTTTTAGCGTATTCCATCGGGATGTGGACTACGAGGTGCCGGACAAGTCCTGGTCGGTTCTGTACATTGGAACCACCAAGGAGAAGGCCCTGAAGTAGCGCAAGACCAAGACCAACCGCAGCATCCCCCACAGCTTCTCCGTAGCACATCCTGCATTCCAATTGAAATCGATTTCCTGCAAACACAATGGGCCACTCAGCGATTGAGTCCTTCGCCACCACATCACTCAGTCATCCATCAGACGTCGCGAAATGTTATATAAAATTTAAATTCGCCCTCGTGCCATTGCATATATCATTGGACTTTTATTATAATTTTTGTGTGTGGGCTGAGCCTGATGATGCTGGTTCTGGGTCTGGTTCTGGGACTGAGTGCAATTGGTGGTGATACGTACGATTGTGATTAATGGAGACGCCGTCATTGAGCCCGATCCCCGGCGCTTCAGATGCTTGCCATATACATCTATATATGCATAACGATCGCTGTTCCATGATGTCATATTCATTGAGCCAAGATTGCTCTTGAGAAGTGTCAACTGAGACATTTCTATCTAAAGCGGAAATAATGGCTTAATGAGACAAATGACGCGACTCTGACACATCTGACAGCTTCGAAATTCACAAAACGTGTGAAATTCTAGCGAAATTGATGGTTAATTTTTGCAAAATCCATAGTGTCTTGAAATGATAAATGTTTGCGAATTGTTTGCGCATCATATGATACGATTATTTAAGATTATAATGAATAATTTATCATGGGGTTTAACTTCTCAAAGAATTTATATAATTAATTCTTAAAGGGGAATCCCTAAAAAAATCTATTTTTGTAATATTTAAATGTGTTAAGATTGGTTTAGAAAGTATATTTTTAAATGTTTACTAATATATACTTATAAAATTGGATAGCAATATACTAGGTAACGATACTATAACTTTTTAAGTAAAGTAAATTGTCTTGATGGATATTTTGTATTATATTAATAAATATAAAATATATATTTGTAATATATTAATAAATATATAAATGATTAAAACATAAACAAATTATTAAATTCCTTCTGACAAGAGTTTGCTCTTAAAATTCCATTTACAAAATCAGTCTAAGATATTTACAATTTATAAAGATGTTGGTCTCCCAAAATTGATAAGAATTGAACTAAATACAAACTATGTATATATTAAGACCAACATCCCTCTAAAAATAATATACTTGAAAGCTAGATAACCTAGCTGATTTTCCTTAATTAAAAACTAATTCCTGAGCTTAGATCTTACTAGATTTAAATAAGCCTAGTTTATTTAAAACCCCACAAAAACACAAGACTCAATTGTGGTTTGTTCGCTCAACTGAACTCTTGTGGGGGGTTCCCCCCCTTTTAGTGAATTTATGGTCTGTCTGCTTACTGAAAATAGCTCCGAAAATAGCATTTTTTCCAAGCATGCCAAAATCTGTTTGTCTGCTCGTTAGCATATCTGCAGACTGAATATTTTGGCACTGGCCGCAAGATGGGTGGATACTCGCAAAATACTCTAGTGCCCCGAGTTCACTCTGCGGGCCACATGTCAGCTTAAATCCCATCTGAAGTGTCTGACCCAGATAATTTATTTTGCCAGCAACTGAATGCCATACATATTATTAACATATATAGATAGTACTCCAGGAAAGGATGCAAAAATCTTTAAATGGGGTTAGCAAAATATTGCAGTAAGCCAGGTCATCGTAGATTAGATAGCTTGAGGTTTAAGTTCGTAGTAAATAGTCTCCAAGTTTACATGTTTTATATGGTTTTATTTTTCCCTTTTCAGGTAACCTTGGCAGTCTATCAAAAAGTTGATTCGCAAAGAAATGCCTCATTTCCGCTGTGAATTTCTATATGTTTGCTGCATATTTCAGGCATTGCAAGTGCAATTTATAAATGGGCTTCTGACCATTGCGATGAAAGTGGCAGTGACATCAGCTGGCTGTAGGTTATATCAGAAATATAAATACCAGCAAGAGATCAGGAATAGGGCAATTAGGGTGAAAATTTATCGAGACTATTAAATGGCATGCAAAAGTGTCGTGTGAAATAATAATTTAGTGGGCAAAACAGCCATGAAATACATATCTTCCACTCTCTCTCTCTGTTTGTAAATACAATATATATATGATGTGCATTTAAGTTTGCCACAGAATGTGGCTACTGCTACTGCTGTGTTCTAATTGAAATGGACCACAAAATTGCTTAGAAGATGCTTTGTATGCGGCTTGCCGCAAACTTCAAAGTTTCACTCTCCGTCGGTCGCCTCTGATTGATGCCCATGATTGATGATGGAGTCGCACCCAATCCATCGCCTGAGCATTTTCGTTTATTTTTCTTCTTCAGTTTCTTAAGGTTTTGTTTTTTGTTTTGTTTTCGGTACTCGGCGATCCAATTTGATACAATTGAACTTTGTCGGTTGTCCACAGAATTCTTGCCATACATTTTTGCGTAATTTGCATAAAAGATATTGGCAAGCTCAAAGTCCAAAGTGCCAAAGTCGCCTTTTCCCTGTGTTTTCATTTCCCCCTTAATATTTTTTTTTGTTTTTTTTCCTGCTCTGTTATGTGGTAAAATCTCACATTTCCATAAGGCAAACATGAGCATAAGCATAAAATTAAATATGCACGAGAATTGGCAGAGCCATCGAGGCAACGCCAAACTGCACTTGCAACAATTTGAGCTTTAGACACTGAGAGGAATAATGATGGATATTTATTATAAATTTAAGGAAATTTCAGAGATTAAAAACAATAAATATAAACATATTCAAGTAATTTTTAACTTACTTTATAGAGGTATCTTTAAAGGCCAATTTAGGAATTGCTTTGATATCTCTTTATTGTAAGAGTACTTTATCCTTCTTAATAATAACTTTCTTCTTTTCAAGTTTCTCAAATATTTTCCACTGGTTTCTATTAATTTTCATTTCCCATTTACTTATTTTAAATCATTTTTTCCAGTGCATAATGATTGGCTCAAGGGGGCTTGTCCGGGGTAAGCGGTTGCCTTTGCTCTGGCCAAATTTCGCTTCACTTGTTGTGGTTGTAATTGCTGCCGTTTCTCAGGCGGGGAGGAGGTGGCTTAGAGGGACGCTCCAGGGGGGTGGATTGGTATCTGTCATTGACATGGATGGCCGTCGTGGTTCGTGTCTGCAGCCCAAATGCGTTTTGCATAATTTTAAAGCCTCTTTAAAGCAGCGAAATGCCATTACGGGTTGCGATTTTGTGACCGAAACTATTTTGCACATATATATATATTTTCTTTTTTTTCGGGGACAAATTGAATTTCACTCTTGACTGCACATTTGCAGCAGCAACTAAAGAGAGGAAGAGGGGAGTTGAGATTTTCCATTTCCCATTTCCCATGCGGCGTATACGTGATATTTGGCATTCGCAAAGCGCGAAACAATTTTTGATCAATTTCTCTGCAATTACTTTCTGTCAATTAGAGAAAAATTGATTAATTAGCCAAAGCCACTGGGTTTGAAATATGTTTTTGCGCAAAATGTTAATCAATTACGACTGGATATCCGGGCTAAGAAGGCTTATGGCTTAAATCTGTCGATAGCCCTGTCAATTATGTATGAATTTATGGCCTTAATGAACAAGTAAAAACTATATTCTAAACACAATTGCCAGATGAATCATGGCTCTTGAAAATTTACAGGTGATTCAGTTGGCTTTTGCCTGTTTTTAAGAGATAAGGAGGAAACTGGCAGATGAATCAGATTCAAATTTATGTATGACTGACTCATAAAAGTTATAAACCCAATTTCAAACTCCTTGAGTTTACAAATTTACAAGTATTTCCCTTTAATGTGTCATTGATCTTTTCAGTATTTTCTATTCTTTTTTTTTGACAATCAAAAAACAACAAATGACTTTGCCTAATTGAACTTGAACTTGATGTTAAGTGACAACAATTGAAATATCTTAATTTCTTACCCAAAATTTGGGTCAACTCATGCTGATAATTCTTGGAATGCAAACAAGTGTATAATTCTACTAATTAATCGCGTAATACGATACCCACTACACCATTTATATATTTGCCAAAAAGAAGCCAAAATTCATTTATCAAAACTTGCGTAATATGTTTTTTGGAATATTTTGAATATGCATGAGGCTAGAAAACAATTTTGTACTAGAGTCTCCGCTTTAGCTTGAATATATATTGAAAATCGATTAGTGCAAAGTGAACAGGAAAATCAACAAAATGGAAATGACAACGCCAGACAACGTGGCTCTGGGAACTGCTGGCCACGCATAATTCTTGAGAGGCCTACGGGGTAAAGTGCACTGGGAAATACATTTGGTAATTATTATTAATAATTAAATTAAACAGAATAGGATATTCCTTTTTTAAATAGTATTAAAATTAATTACAAATTGATCTACTTTATGTAGGAGTTGAGTCTCCACTCTCTTCCCTCTTTACAAACCTGATTAAAATTTTTCTCTGTGCTAACCAGCAGTTGCCAACCAATGACAAAGTTTTGCCCACCGCCTGGGGACAGGTTGCAGTGGCCACTAACTGGTGACCACTGACTAGTCACCGGTGACCAGTGACCACCATCATCATCGGCGTCGCCTTCACTTCACCATCACCATTGCCATCGCAGGCTGACCAACAAGTTGTCTTCAATTAGCGCCAATCGCAGCTCAACAGCGAAAAGCAATTAAGTCACTTCATCGTCTTGGGGGTTCTCTGCTTACTGGGTGACGCTTATCAAATATTTTTTTAATTGAAAACTTATTACGGAAAGTATCCCAAACTTGGTTATCATTCGCGGGACTTGGAGTTATGTTATGAGATTATTTGCATAATTGGAAACACGTTAGCAGTGGCTCTCCCTCTATAGCTACTTGGCTGGGAAATTTGCATAGTGAATTACTCACTATGATTCATGACTCACTTAGCCTTCAATTGTTTATTGCACCACTATATATCCCTTGATTTTCTCACTATATATACATATATATATATATATCTTTGCTTTCTCACATCCCAACTGGATCGGTGGCAATAAACCTCATTGGCTGCTGCTTTTATTGAACAATTGTCTTGGATTGGAGCAAGTGCAAGTTTGCACATTTCTCATTTAAGTTCCACACACACCCAGCATGTTTATTATTATACATTTTTATGATCAGTTTTCAGATTTTCTCAATTTTCAGATTTTCATATTCTCAGTTGGTGGGTTTTGCATTGCACAGCGGATCCCAAAAATTTGTTGTGCCGATCATTTTGGACCGAATATTTGCTCTTAGTG